ATCTCTAAAGTGAGAGGTTTCCAATCCACATTCATTTCCCTGATCGCTTGTGACCACTTCATCCCTAAGATCACATTAGTGCTCCCTAGGGGTGCAAACAAGTCGGGGGTTGTTCGAGCCGAGCTCGTCTGTCAAATGCTGAGCTTGAGCTTGAGCTCGAACTCGAGTCGAGCTCGAGCTCGACTCGACCGAGAAAAAAAAAAGATCGTCGAGTTCTCGAGCTCGACTCGACAGAGAAAAAAAAATCCCTCGTCCCTGCTCGCATCCGCGTCCGTCGCCGCTTGCCACGTCATCGCCAATGATGCGTCCACGTCGTCGCCAATGACGCGTCCACGTCGTCGCCAATGACGCGTCCACGTCGTCGCCAATGACGCGTCCACGTCGTCGCCAATGCCGGGTCCTTCAATGCTCTACGATCGAGTCCGTCACGACAGAGAAAAAATCGGAAGGAGAACCATTCGTCGCAACTTTTACCCGAATTTGACTAATGAAAAAAAAAAAAAGAATACAAGGAAACCATCAAAGATAAACTACTAGCATCCACGACCATGATCAGAGAGGATGAGAAACAAATGCGTGAGATGGGGTCTAGGGCATCGTTACCTTTCTAGTGTGAACACCTGCAATAGACGGTACCACCTCGGGTCCGACGACTACCTCCTTAAACGCCTTATAGTTCTCCTTCCGCTTTCACGTTATCCCTCTCGAGTCACTCATTCTTCTTTCCGATTCTATGGCTCGTTGGCCGCATCCATCGCTTCGCCAACATTTTTCTCGCCATAATTTCCTTTTTCCTGCATCCGTCGTTGCTTCTCTGATTTCATATTCCCGCCGCAATTTCATTTTTCCCGCGAAGCGAGCTGCTCGACGAGCTCTCGAGTCGATCAACTGGTTGTTCGAGGTCGATCTCGATAAGCTCGACTCGTCGAGCATGTTGTTGAGTCGAGCTCGAGCCGGCTTGACTTGGCTGCACCCCTAGTGCTCCCCAAACCCAAGGGAAGAAAATCCTCTACTATTTGTATATCTTGGAGTTTCCCACCAACCTCCTGCAAATTCCCCTACTCTCTACCTTTCTTGTTCCCATCATGACTCCAAAGCTCCATATATCCAACAACTTCAATCCCGACTGGTCTACGATCCAATTGGAGATGAAGTTATGAGTTGCCCACTATCCACCAAAGCCACCACTGATAGCTCTCTGATCTGTCCCCTCACCTTCTTTGTGTGATTTTGGAGTAAATCCCACCTCAGAATTTAGGGACACTTCCATCAAATTAAGGTGCAGATGCTCTCTTCCTTCTTCTGCTTCCTCTTCCTGGTCCTCGTTGTTAGTCTCTTCCTCACAAACTTGAAGAACTTGAAGTGTGCGATCCTTGCACTGATGGCCTGATACATACTTCTCATCACACCGAAACACAAACCTTTCGCTTTCTTGTCCTGCACCTTTGTCTCTGTGAAGCGCCTAAAATTGGCCTTGGGGACTATTCACCTTTGGTGACTCATGCTAAAATGATATCGTTTGTGTCCTTGGTGCAAATGAAGTTGAGGTACTTCTGTAAGTTCCTCCCGCAACACTGCTGTTACCGCTTCTCTTCATCTGCCTTCGATCCTTTACTATATATGCTAGCTCCTTCGTCTCCTTCAACCCCTTCGGCCCCAGTAATCGAAGGTCCACTCGTAAGTCAGGCGTAAGGCCCTTCATAAAATTTCCCTCCAATACTGCCTTCGAAATTCCTCTCAACCTCCCTGACCACAACTCAAGATGAAAGGTATCAAAAGCAGCAACAAACTTCAAGGGATTCAACACAAAAATAGATTTTTATTGATAGAAAATCAAATACGAACAAAGCAATATACAATGATCCTCTTTCGAGAGGACTACGCCGCTAGGGTCCCTCACAAAAAGAAAATTACAGCACTCTTAAATCAAATTATGCATACAAACATAACATAAATCCTACTACTTATAGCAAATAATAAGACAACAAATTCCAAAATAGCCCTCTCCCAATTAGCCCTCAAATCAGCCCTCTCGAATTAAGAAATATCTCCTAATTTATCACTTCCAAATCAGCCCCTAAATCTGCTCTCTTTAATTAGGAAATATCTCTTAATTAATCTCCTCCAAATTAGCTCCCAAATCTGTCCTTTTTAATTAGGAAACATCTCCTAATTAATCCCCTTCAAATCAGCCCCCGAATTTGTCCTTTTTAATTAGGAAACATCTCCTAATTAATCCCTTCCTTAATTCCTCTTCTCACATACGTAATGATAGGTTTAATGGGCCCCACAATGGAGACGAATCCATTGCCCTCCCCGCCCCTAACATGCTGCCCTCTCCTGTATCGGAACCACTTTCCAGTGAATGCTTTGCATGGAAGGGTTGTATTGTCAGTTTCTACGCCTATTAGAGGCACCCGTTCTTAGTCTTTCCTTGTGCAGTCCAGTCAACTTTTGCTGCCATTTTCTTGACCTAAGGTTTGGCCGTTGGCTTATAGCTTGCAGTAATCATGCATGCATGCATCCATAGAACTTTGTACACGGCCACCCATTCAAAGTGGTTCTTTACATGCTTTGTGAGCAAGCCACGGTATCTTCCGGTGAACCTGGATATGCTTGAAGCTCTGGACCAATGAAACTATTTTGGCTGATATAATCTTGGTCAACATTTTATTATTTTGAAGGATCGCTTACCTGTTAGTTATGAACCTGAGTTAATAAGGCCTTCTTTCCGTTTGAGTAAGGATGCTAATTTCTTCTATCTTTTGTGGTTACAAACGAGTTCCAAGTACACTAAGTTCAACGTTCACTTAAATTTGATACCTACAAGACCAGAATAATGAAAGCCATTTACTCAAAAAGTTTGATAATTGTGAACTGAAGCTTGCAATAGGCAAACACATAAACTGGCAATGAGAGTCGACCTACTACAGAAGAGTAATTTTACCTTGAAAAGAAGCGCTTGGGCTAGCGAATATCCAACTAGCACCAGTTAACAGTTTAATTTGATAATGCCTTTATTTCAGCTAGTCATTGCCCCCCAAAAGTATTTTTGTACTGTTTAGCACAAAACAGATTCTCTAGTCTAATAGAAATGGAAAAATGCTCTGCTAGTGTGTTGCCAATTATATTATGCTTGGAAGGAAGTGTGCATATAGTATAGCATTTGCATCTCATTTTTCTTCTACAAATTAGAATTTTGATTCGTGAATAAGTTCTTGGAAAGCTAAGCAGATGAGAAGTATTGTCTAATAAGACCTAATATTTTTGCTATTTTTTTGGAATTTCCTGTTGTTACCCACAGGTGAACTCAGGCTTTTTTGAACGGATTTACAATTTTTATAAGAAAAAACATTTAGATTGATTTTCTGGATGCTCATATTAAAGTCTTAGCGTGCTTATCACGTGTATATTATGCTTTATAAGGAATAAAAATCGGCCTATGTCACAATTCCATGTCTCTAGCTTGTTTGTTACTACTTAAACTCGTGTCTTTGTATGTGTTCTATATTTTCTATCCACTCATCTTATTGCTCTAGCCATCTTGTAGAGTATTTTGGATCACTGTTTCTTCTCATCTTTTGATTTTTTGATCCTTTAATGGAGGAATTCCCCTCATCTTTGAGTGAGGTGAATCTCCACTGTTCATGTGAGATGTAGTTGCCCTGAAGATTTGAAGGCAAGGATTTTATTGGCCTATGATGTAGCATGCTGTATTTGACTTTATGTGAAAAGTACATGAAAAATGGCTTTTGGTTTCGTCGTGGTGGTGAGGGAGGGGTGCCGTGGGGGCAAATTATATCGGGTCGGGTCGCTAATCTGACAAGACATAAAGCGTTAATAATAAATTAAAAAAACGCCTAACAGATGTCGCATTTTTATTGGTGACCGAACGGAGAGATGGCTTCGGTCACCTGACCCAATAATTTGCCATGGGGGAGGGGTTCGAACCCATGTTATTGAGCAATTTCTCCTTCTTTTTCATTCTAAATTTATTTTTTTGACAATCTACATGCATCATATCTGATGTGTTACACCTTATCAAATTAGAACTTTAGATTAATTCTACCTAACTGGTCTATTTTCCATATGGTAATAATTAAGTAAAAGAAGCTTAAATACAATTTAATTTAAAAAGGAGTAAAGGCACAATTTAGATTTATGTTTTCAGTGAAAAAGCAAATCTAATTCGCATTTTGATTAAAAATGCAAATTTAAGAAAAATTAAAATATTTTAAAACACCTTAAATAACTATTAACTAGCATTACAGTAGAAGTTTTTGTTTTTATTTTTTGACTTGGAGTAAAATTTCGGGATATGACTGTCTCGGTACTTTTTTTTTTGGGAAAGCAGCTGGTACTTAAATGCTTCAACCTTACTTTTTTAAATAAATTGTATTTTAACGCTCTTTAAAAAAAGAAAAAAAAAAAAACATTAGAGTTTTGTCCTAAAAATTGAAAGAAAAAACATTTAAGAATTGTGAAACATAATAGTAAACTGAGAGTTGAAAATAAATTTCTGAGCAGAGGGTCATATACCATGGTTTTACTTTAAGTCAAAAATATAAAAACAAAACTCCCATTGTATAAATCAACTTAAGTTACTTGAGCTATTTAAAAAATTCAGTTTTCATTAAAAAAATGCAAAATAGATTTGCGTTTATAATGATAACGCAAACTATTTTGCATTTTTGCTGAAAATGCAAATTAAACTTGTGGTTTTACTAAAATGCAAATCTAATTTATTATTTTGTTCCTTTTTAAATAAAATTTTAATCAAGCTTCTTTTATTTAATTATATTTAAATAATGCTCCTAACTAAACTTTTGCCTTTCTATACTCCGATATATCATCTTGAATGTTTGAAGGAAATCGAATAAATTAGCATGAGTTCTACTGACTTAACTTTTATGAATTTTATCGCAACTTTTTATTTGACTTTAAAACCATGCCAAAAAACATGGTATTTAATTGTTTATCATCCATCTTTTTTTTCCCAGTATCGACCTTTGGAGCTGTTCTGGACATGGTAACAGACAGGTGATTTTTTGAAGTATTTTGTTGTTTATATTTCTTTTGGGATTCCCAGAGATTAATGAGTTGTTTTTGTATCCAATGTTGTGTAAATTTGTTGTTCCAAGTTCATTTTGAAGTCCTTGCAAAGGCCAACTTACGTGATTTTTTTGCTTATATTATACCAGAGTCAGCACTGCTTGTCTATTGGCAATCCTATCTCAACTATACAGGTGCTCATTTTCATTGTATTATGAATGAAATGCTATTATCATTTTTTTGCGTCTCACTCACTTATTCTGTAACATCTTTTATGTTTGCAGACCTGGCTTGATCTTTTTAGCATTGCTTGGATTAGATATTGCAAGCCATTGGTTGCAAATGTATAGGTGTGTTCTGATATTTTTGCCTTAAATCTTTAGCCTCTAATTTTTTTATTGGTATTATCTTTTTTTGTGTAAATTAATGATGATGGCATAGGTAATTAACCCCTAACTGTTGTGTAATTTGACGTTACTTTTGTATCTTTCTATTCATATGAAACCATTGTAGCATTTACCCCACTAGTAGTGGCATTACTTTATTCTGATCCTATTAGTTATGATTGCTTGACTTGTTTTGGTCAAGTGTGGGCTTTTGCTTTTATCAATATTGGAAGGTAGTGAAAAATGTTGGGTAAAGCCTATTAAAAGCAGTTTTTTTGGTTCATGTGCTGAACCTTGATACCAAACTCAATCTTAGATTTCTAATGTTGAAAACTTGGATCTACATGCATTACCTTTGATGTAGGCATACAAAATATGTCATCGTTACTTGCTAATAAACCATATTTAATGGTTTCTTATATTATACGAAAAAAAATTAGGTTTAGTTGCGTGATATATTTAGGACACTTTAAAAAAATAAAAATAAAATAATAATAATAATAATAGGTTGGCAAGCTAAGAAGGCTAGGATAAGAGAATTTGTGATGGATATCAGGCATGTAAAGGGAAGGTTTGAGGTTAGCTTATCACTAGCCTCGCATGCTTGGTCTCTTGGGGCCTCGCCTACTCGCGTAAATGAAGAAGACGATGCTCACGTAAACCCTATCCTGCTAGCTCATGACATGAAGATTATGAAGGGATACATCATACACGACTACTTAAATGGGGCTTATTTCACGTGTATGTTTCAATTTAATGATTATTTTTAATTGGACATGCCTTATATCATAATTTTTAGTTTTTGCGGGGGTTACTAATTAGTCTCGCCAGCCATAAGGTATTTGCAAACTACTCATTGCGGATCCTGTCACAAGTGGGGAGTCGGCCTATAGGGTTATTTACTACTATTGGAGTTGTCGTTGCCTTTGGTGGGCCTAGCTTATGCTAGACTTTTTAGACTCCGCGGGAGTCACCACTAAGTCTTGCCAGCTATAGGAGACTAGCATGCTACTGATTGTAGATCTTGTCACAAAGGAGGCAGTTGTCCTATGGGGCTAGGCTAATGAATTTGATAACTCGCTATAACTACTTTTGACAAATATATATGAATGACTTTTCCTGTTAACAGTGAGACAAGCTTGTGTAAACTACTAGTATGTGAATATGAACGACTCTACTAGCGAGTATAGTTTGGGGAATTTAGCATGGTGGAAATTTTTTTGTACCCTTGATGGTTGTGGGAGTATCGTTTTGTGTCCGTTCTATTGATGTATGTTTGCTCTTTAAACCTTTGATAGGATGCCTCTTTCTCTAACTAAAAACTTTGTACAAGAAAGGCCGCAATTATTGTTTGTTTAAGTATACAGAGTGAGATGCTTTCTTTCTCATATAGATAGTATTAGCCAAATAATGAAGGCAACTTTTTGTATCTGTAAATATGTCATTTTTTTTTGCTCTTATGTTATTCTTTACCTTTTTATACCTTTAAATACTCTAAATAGCTGCATTTCTTAGCACAATCTACCTTTAAAACATTATCAAGACTGAAAATGTGATGAAGGTTTGCTATATTCAATTGGTCAAGCAAATCTGATTTTTTTGGACAAAACTGCCACCTTTTCTGTTGAATTCCCATTGCTTTTCAAATGTTTTTTATCCAGCATGGACGGAGTTCCCATTGCTTTTCAAATGTATTTTATCAAGAGAATTTTCTTTTCCATTCACTATTTTTAACTTTTTGGTGTTTTCATCTTCAGTACTTTCTTGTGTGGCAAGAGTAGCCATAAAGATGTCAAAGACAAAAGTAGCTGGCTTTTAAGGGCATATTATCAGCATCGCTATTTTATGGCATTCTGCTGCGTGGGATCTGAGGTAAACAACTGTCCAAACATTCTCTTTGTTTAGACATTTATGTAGCTCTATTTTCAGTTCACTGATGAGAATGGCCGGTCACAGGTTCTTTACATCATTCTTTTTCTTATTCATGAGAGTCAGGATGAAAGTTTAATCTTTGTAAGTTTTGTGCTGCTGTTATTTTTTGGCCTCCTTTGTTTGAGTTGAAGTAGCAACTTTAATGTTTCTTATCTTTTGCATGATCCAATATTTACAGGTTTGTGTGAATGCTACAAAACATAGCTTACCACTTTTAGTGATATTCACATTAGCGTTGCTTGGATGGGGAATTAAACAAATAGTAAATATCATTCAGGTATCGTTTTTTTTTTTCATTTTATATTGTATGAGTTCATTTCTTTATTGATTCAGCTCCGTAAATTGCAGGAAGTTGACATTTGGTCATGCAACAGGGTTTATTTAGTCTACAGCTATTTTGTTAATTGACTTAAAACTAAACAAATGCTCTACATGAAACTTTTGCTTGTTAGGTTCGAGTGTGTTTTGTTACAAGTTTGGAATTGTTGATTCGTTCATTTACTTTTTTTGTATCCGCTTTCAATTCCAAAAGGTATTGCACTTGAGTTCAGCAATTTGAAATAAATACATATGTTGACAGACCATCTAGCCATTCATCTTTGGCATTGATATCCCACCACAAAATAGATTGGAATTTGATAGTTAGTTTTAGATGGTTGTCTTTAATTTGAAATATAAATGTTACAACCATTGTGGTATTGTTTACATCATGTTATTCCTATAAATAACCCTTGTATTTCTTTTCTATGGCTTAATTAATTGATATTAAGCAAAGCTTTTATCTTTGGAATTTAGGTTAGCCATTTCTTTGGTCGTTTTGCTTGTGCGATGCTTACTTTTCCCCTGAGAATGCTGGAGAATTATATGAAATAGTTTGCACCTTGTTCCATGGTAGTTTTTTGATGTAGAACGTACATGCTAGGATGATAGATTAATGAATTTGCATGCTTAATATTTAGAGAACAATATTAACTAAAATTATGCTGATTTAAACGCTAAGATAAAACAATAAGGTCGGCTAAATCACATGCATAAGAATTAATACCGTAAAACAATCAATTAATCTAACGTTGCATATATGGATGGTTTCAACAAGAGATCCCTAGATTAACAATAAGATAAGTTACTATGCAAGGATCCCTCACTAAACTCTCTAATTTACTAGGCTTTAGCAGATAAGACTAACACATTTCCAGTGAATCGATTAATTCCACAATTGAATGCGACTAGGAGAATAAAAGAATAAGGGAGAGAGTTCACCGAATCCTGGTTTGGGCCTTGAGGCAGCACATAAAAGGTTTTCCTAAGCTGGCAGTCGTCTCTTGTGACTTAAATTTAATCTGGACAGGGACTGGATCCTGTTTGGAGAAGTGGGGCGGCAGCAGGAGGACTTCTGGGACAGTTCTCTTGTTGATTTTGATATTCCTGGGCAGAGGACAGCAGCAGGGGAATTCACCAATCAACTAGAAGGCAGACGGAAAGCAGGAAAAACTCTGTTACAGCTTTGACAAGTTTCTGGACAGCAATGGGGAGGTGCAGAATTCTCTGGACAGCAGCCGTTTGGTCTTGGGAAGATTCTGGACAGCAGTTTTCAATGTCCCAAAATTCAGGACAGCAGATCAAACCCGTCCAGGAACCTTGACAGCAACCTGGAGGGGAGGAATTCAATGGTTTCCTCCTGAATGGTCAGGGCTTGGAGGGCAGGGTGGTAATCTCGTGGACAAGAATGGGTAGAAAGTCTGGGATTTAATTTGATGATTTAGGTGACATGCTAAATCAATCACACAAGTAATTGGAGGGAGAAAATAAGGGGGCCCGACGGTGGGGAGAGGGGTGGAGGGAATTGGGGAATTCATTGGAGGATTAAATGGAAAATTAATTAGATGGGAGAGAGGTGTGGGCTGGCCATGAAAGAGGGAGGAGTTATGTCTAGGTGTAATGTATGTGGACCATATGCATTAATTGGAGATTGAATTTAAATCTGAAATTCAATTTCAGATTCAATGTAATTAGGAAGGTTTCCTAATTAAAGATTATCAAAGAGGAAAGTATTTGAAATTCCAATATAAAAGTGATTTCAAATAAAGATATTTTCCAAAATGACATTAGTTATTTTAGGAAAGTAATTAAAGTAATTTTGAATTTTGAATTTCAAAATTCATGGGGGATTTGAAAATTCGAATTCAAATTCAACCAAGGCTTAGGATCCAAATAGGCAATCAATGGGTGAAGCCCATTAATGGGTCGGTGGCATGATGAGGGGAGGGAGAGGATTTGGAGAGCTTTTAAAAGTTTCCTAATGGGGTTTTCTAATTAGGGAGTGGAATAATTAAATCTAATCCAATTTGAAATTAAAAACTTTCTAAATATAGCTATGTCAATTTAGGAAGTTATTTGAAATTCAAATTGCAGAGTTATCTTCCTAAATCACTTGGGTGAGTTTTGGTAAGCGGTAATGATGATGGAAATCATCATTAATGGTGGGAGGGCCAAGGTGGCCGACGGCAAGGAGGTGGTAGGGGTTTAGGGGCTCGGTTGGATGGGAGGATGGGGTTAGGCCGGCGGTGGGGCTTGAGGTGGTGGAGTTAGGGGAGGATTTGGGTGGGGGTGGATGGCCGGCGGTGGAAGGGAAAGGAGGAGCCGGCGGTGGAAGGGAAAGGAGGAGCCGGCGGGTGGGGTGGGGAAGAGAAGAAAATAAAAATAAAATAAATTAAACCACGAGCCGCAAACTCTTCCAATGATTGATGGGTGTTGCACTTGCCCTCACCTTGAGCTCTCTCTCCCTTCTCTCTAGTGCTCACACAAGAAGAAGAAGAAAACACATAAAATTTTCATTATCAAATCATCATCTCAAAATACAAGAGAACTAGCCTATAAATAGGCCTCATGAAAAGAAAAGAAATAATGACTAAAATATCCTTCGGGCTACAACACCACATTACCACCTCTAGGGGTAAAATGGGAAAAACAGAAATATAAAATAAACTAGTACATAAAATAGATAAAATAAAAAAACTAGAGATCAGAGATCGTCTGATCTCCTCATCATTTTCCTATTCCTTTGCTCTTCTCAATACGCATAACCAATGTGAAAGATTCTCCTTCATTGGATTGTAGCAGGAATTTGCCTTCAGCGCCTTGTACTACATGACAGTGCTTATCAATGACCCCTTACTGTGCATATCTCTGAGTTTTTTTGTTGTTTATTTACAATTGATCTTCTGTTACGTTGGTTTTTTTTTATTAGCAACTCTCCTGGTTGTTCCACTAATTCCTCTATTTTTTATCATATCCTGCTTAGGGACTTCCAACTTATGTGATTCCTCTGCTTCCCATCATGGTTATGCATTTTTTACTTTGGTGCCTCGCAGAACTGAACGAGTGTGGGATTTTTGGGTTTGGTTACAGTTGGTGGAGTATATTTTCAATTGATTTTATAAGTATAAATAGGGATAAGATTCATTTACACAGCTTATTATTACTAGTTGCATAAAATTGCTAATTGGCAGCGCAATTCATTTTTCTTTGAGATTACAATTTGTGTCTATACTATCGGTCAAAATATGGGCATTTCGTTGATCACGAAAAGAACAACCGAAAAGAAAATAAGTTTGAGTATGGTCGCTCTTAAGTTCTTAATTCAAGTTAGAGACTTAAAAAATTCAAGGAGAGGCTATCATCTTGTACAAGATGATGGTGATTTTCTGGTTATTTCTTTCTTTTCTTCTTTGTTTTCTTCTCTTTTTTTCCCATAATTTCATTATTAGTTGAAAGCATGATTTTGTTTAACCAACTTTGCTAAAATATGACTTCTTATTGAATGAGTGAATTTCAATTATGTGTGTTACTTTTTTTATCCTTATTATAGTTTTTAATTTCTAATAGAAGGCTGTAAGTATTGTGTAAGTATTGAGATGTATCATATTTTCAATTTTCATTAATCTACTCATTAATTTTCATTTATTAATACTTTGCCCCCTGTATATCTTTAATATTTGTTAAATGATTTTGCGTATCTCAGTTTTTATATGCATTGGAGAATTTAAATTCTTAGAAGTTCTACATCAGCTGGCCATCCTATTCCTTTTCACCAAAAAATTGTTGAACGGCTATCATTTAGCTTCAATTCAGGAAAAAAATGATCTTTATGATGTTTATGCATTTCTTCTACTATTTCTGCTGTTCTTGTTTTTGCTACTGAGAAGAGTTTGAAATTTCTGAACATATTCCAACTTTTCTAAGCCTCACTCAACGCTAGCAACTTATTCTTCCGTGTGTGGGTGAAGCGACTGAAGTATTTAGAATTCAAATGTCTAATTGGTTATAGGCTAAGACTGAATGATTTAATTCTTTTTTTTTGTTGAATTTGATTTTAAATAACTCTATTAATAAAATTCTTGTCAATTCTATTTGAGATTGTGCAAGGCTTTAATCCTGAGATACTTATAGATCACATTAGTTCTCCCTTGTAGAGAATTTATGATTTTGTTGAGCATTTGCATATAATATATTTTGATGTCTAGAGACAATTTATAAATTATTATAAGTATTATAAGGCCTCAGGAGATGATTATATGGAAATTCGCTGACTTTCGTGTTTCCCTAGACTTCTTCCCTTTTGTGTCTGATTGCCGTTATTGCTGCCATCTCATCAATCCATGTGTTGTCATAATTGTAATTATATATGGAGTTAATTTTCAGCCCTTAACTGTTTTATATTTATACTAGAGGTTCTTTTGAACTAATATAAATTTAGCACAAATGATGAATTGAATCATGAAAATTCTATCCGATTTTTTTTACATTACAAGTGCATTTTGAAGTGTTCTGTATGTAATTAGGTCTTGATTCATATTTGCATGAATGCTCTCCAATAAATATAGAGAAAAAATAATATGCCCTAGCCTTTGGGCCTTTCAAATTTCAAAATGATTAGAAAGCTAAAACCTAATGCTTATACCCTTGATTTGTATTTTATCAAACATATTAATGATATTTTCAATCTGGAAGTTTTTTAATGCCATGAAGGGGTATGTTCTAGTCTCCTCTATTTCCTTGGATGGAGTATCTGATTGTACTATTGTTTTAACTATGCCTATCGCATCAACTAGCAACCAACATGAGATAAATAGAGGGTGATTAATGAGACTATTGTTAGGATTGTTTGGAGCTCTTCGTTATTTTATTTTTTGTTGGCAAGATAATTCATCTTCAGATGTTACTTGGGCCAGACATGAATCTGTAACTAACGATGTGTTCACATTTTCATTAATAAAATATTTTGATATTTCTTATATTTAAATAAAAGAACTAAAGAAGTGCTACCATGTCGCTGTTTTGGTGATGGTATTCTTTAGCCGTCATATCTCACTTTTATGACTTAATGAAATTGATTAAAAGTGAAATTAAGTTATTTGGAATTTCAACCAGCTCTTATTTGGAGTCCCTGGGTTGTGTGATGGTTCCCTTGTTCTTTGATAACGCAAGAAGTTGTGCCAGTCTATCGATTCCTTGTTCCCCCTATTAAAATTTCTTTTTTTCTTCCTCTTCCCAACTGCTGGTTACTCTTTTCCTTTTCCCTAAATGTTCTGCTGCAGAACGTTTTCATAGGTTTCTGTTTGTGGGGACGAAGTCTCTGGGTGCAGGATGTAACCAAGCTAAAGAGGCTATTTACTAATTATCCATGTGACGGGAACTTCCGAACGTTGACCAACAAATGTTACTATCTACCTATTACAGGTTCTAGGAAGATCAGTAAAAGAATATTAAGCAGGAATGTTAATCTTCTGATAGGATACACTTGAAGATCTCAAGTAAAACCTATCAATCTTGAAAAAACAGCGAAAAATATCCACCAAATTTCGATGAAAAACCAGAGAAAACAATAATTTTATTGCAATAATCAAATATAATGAAAGGAAAATACTAAGATAATGTAGATCTTTAATTTGAGAGGAGGATCTATCTCTCCCAATCCTTAGACGAAGCTTTAAGAACACCCTCTCCCTTGGCAAGTTTGAATAGGGCCAAATGAAGGATGTGTATGAAGATGACCCTAATCTTGTAGAGGAATATCTTGAAATAAATGACGATGATGATTAAAAGCTTATTGTTGATTGAGTTTTTGGGATTATGCCTTGTTCTATGGAGTTTGTTGCATTGGAGACTATGCAAGAGATAGATGTTGCACCCATGCTTATAGAGCCTACCATTACTCTACATGCTTCCTAGACTTAACATAGATGAAGGTGTGTGTCATTCTTTAGCTTCCCATGTTGTTGCCACTCGATCATAGGTTGTCGAATGCATGCTATGCTTAAGCTTTCTGGATGATTAAGGTTTCGTTTGGGACAACTTTTTCATTGCTTTCTAAAACAACTTTTTAGTATAAAAAATTCTAATTCAATTTTTTTTTTTAAAACTAAAACACTGTTTTAGAAAGCATTAAGAAAGCTGTCCCAAACGATCCTTAAGTTATGGATCTACATTTAACTATGGTCGTCAATGGAATTATAGGCATTGCGATGCATTTATAAATTTGGGGCGTCTAGATTTTTGGCTGTAAGGCCTTAGTTGTATACTTGTATTGTATCTCACCTATTAGTTCAGGCTTTCAAGGCAGTTGATTGTGCGAAATTGCCATAAGTCAGTGTAACTAGTGGTCTTTTAGTGTGATATAAAGGTCCCTTTTCCTCAAACCCTACAGTGGTGGGAGCTCCATCCGTGCTGTTTTTGTTCAATCCGAATTTTTGCTCTGGTATTTACTAAAATCCTCCTGAATTCACCCTGAGTATTTGATGCTCATTTGTATAATAATATTTATAGGGGTGTCAAAAGTTGACATGACCCCAAAACCTGACTCGGGAAAATTCAAGTTAGGGTTGACTGTTTGTAAAACGGGTCGGGTCAGGTTCGGATTTCTGACTCGCCTAAAAAATGAGTCGGGTTCGGGTTGACCCGGCTAACCCAGATCCCGCGCGATGATCTAGCCTAGTTGCCCGCTGCGTGATGACATAGCCCAGCGCCTGCGGAAGTTCGAGTCGAGGGCGAGGCTTTCCTTGCCGCGCTCAAGTCCAACCCCAGCTCCAAGCTCTAGCGGGCTCTTGCTTGTCTGCCTTGCTGTGCTCGGGTCGAGGGCCTCGAGGCGTCGAGCATCTCAATTTGCGATGATCATATCTCGCACGAGCTATGCGCAACCACTGCCTGCCAGGTTGAGCACTCGAGCCCCGCCTCCACCTCACTTGTGGCCTCACTGAGCTCACTCTGATTGACCGACTCAGTCTGCGTTCGATTCAACAAACGTTCGTGAAAAGAAGGCAGACAGGTTTATGGGTCGGGTCGGGTCAAACCGGTAACCCGTGCGGGTCGAGTTCAGGTTGAAAATCCTATCCCGTTTAGCTAAACGGGTCGGGTCAAACCGGTAACCCGTGCGGGTCGAGTTCAGATTGAAAATCCTATCCCGTTTAGCTAAACGGTTTTGGTTCGGATCAACCCCATTTATATCTTGGTTAATTCAGGTTGGATCCGAACCCAACCCGTTGATCCGAATTGACACCCGCAAATATTTCCAACATGTGATGATTCTTTTCTTCTCTAAGATCAAGACTCATGTTACAACTACTGATACATATTTCTGATATAAATTGGTTTTCCTTTACATGCTCAATATTTTTTTGACACAAAAACATCATCAGCATGCTTGTGATGAAATTTTAATGGCGACATTCCTTTGCTACAGATGAAGACAGCTGCTGATGCTTGCGTGATGTATGATATGAGGGGAAAAGAAAAGCCATGATCCTCCTCGAAATGGCTGATTGTAAGGATTTTGTCTTGCGAGTAGGCTCCAATTTGATCACTGTAGGCGAACAAGTTTGCAGGATATGAAGAGGATTGGATGGAGGTATCAGTGTATCACCATCGAGGACAAATTTTTAGTTGATTTGAGGTATTTGATTTCTTTGTATCTAATGATTTGGTCACAATATACTGTAATACTTGTTTTTTTTTGCTCTATTTGAAGTCTTCTAGTTTTTTTTTTTTTACCTTATTAGCTTTCATGTTGAATTGTAAATGATAATCGATTGTGCTTCAGTGCATTTTAAGGAACTGCGTTTGTTCCTAAACATTCGTTTGTTATTGCTTTATGAGAAGCTTCTTGGTGGCCTTCTGAATGATGTGATTCTGGTCTAGTGTGGCTTTGGTTAAATTAAATATAAGCTGATTTGGAGCTTCTGGAATTGAAATAATATCATGGGAACTATATGATCGTCTATGAATCTATTGTAAGGCGAGCTTGTCCATGATTTTTAATTGTAAGACACCTCATTTTTTTACATGAAAATTTCAAAAAGGGCAAAACTATGAAGCCTGGCATAATTGAAATAATATATTCTATAATTTAAGGATATGAGAATATGCTTCTTCATAATTAAAGGAGATTACACAGTTGATAACATTTATTTTATTCTCATTGTAGAGATTATAAAGAAATGATGGAACGCGAAGAAGATTATATAACATTAGTCGAGAGATGATAATATAACAAAATTTGCGTGTTCACAGTCGGATAGTTGAATTCAAATGACGGGGTTTGATGTGTATATAGGAAGTTCGGTCATTGTGGTAGCGGTTGTTAATGGTTGTTGTTGGCGGCTATTGTTGAATCAGGCGATAAAGTTTCTTATATCTCTTAGCTCCGAAACATTCCTCCCATAGAAAATTGCTTCCTATTTATGGGTTTTTCATAGGAGCATTTTATTAAATTTGTCCATAATCTAAAGCATTCCATTGAACAATTTATATTGATCCTCTTGATCATAGATTATTTATTTTAATATTTGTGTATTTTAATGATCTTAGAATTGAATGATGTTAGAGTTGTTGGACAACTGATTTTACCATAAGATGCCAAATTTGAAGGCCATTTGATTCTTCAATTAATGTGCTGAAATTTCAAAATATGCTTAAAGCATTTGATTGAACTCATTTAAACTCTGATCGGATCACTTATTGTGTCGTTGGGCTTGATTTTGTCAAAGACATTCAATTCAATTAAAGTTTACTGAAATCGAAGTTTGAATGTTCCTCAATTTAATTATGAATGTTCTCAATTCAAATATTTCCTAAGGATTCAGGCTATTCGAGAGAGTTTTCTGGATACGTATCAAGACTGATACTGTTGTTTAATTTGTACACCTTGTGTATCTTATAAAATAAGATCAATATTGTAATTATAATCAAATAAGATCAATATTATTCTTTCAAATTTTCTCACAATTAGTGCTTTTTTTTTCCTCTTTAACTTTTGGCACATCCTTCTATTGCATATTTTAAAACATGACTGCCTTTGGCATTGATGTAGTTTGTCCTCAATGTAAGATTTTCTTTGATTCTAAGGCATGTGAGATGAGAATGATTTCTAAAGCAATCTCATGTGATCTCAAAAAAGTTTTTCTTAGTACTCTGCAAGTGCTCCTTTTCTAGGCTTAACAAGTGATTTCTTTTCTTTTCTTTTGTATGATTTGGCCAATAAATCTGAATAGTTTATTTAATGTCAGATTGTTGCATGAGCTGCTTTTTCTTTTGATTCATAGTGCTCGAATTGAGCTTTCCTTTGTTCCCTAGTTTGTGTAGATTGCCTAATTGTTTGGTTGGAGTTCTCCTTTCTTGTTATATTTTTTTAGCAAAGTTGAATGAAGGGGATTGATTATGTTGATTTTACACAACTCACCTTGGCTTGTTGGTTGAGAGCTTATGCTTCTAACTAAGAGGTCTTGGGTTTGAGCCTTTGTGTATGCATTGTGTGTGTGAGTTTGCCTTAAATGGCCTAAATGTCCCAAAAAAATTATGTTGATTTTGATAATTTTTATTTTTTTTGGGGTTGGAGAAGAGATGATTTTCCTTGATTGAGAGTGGGTTGAGATGATATTAGCAATTTATCGAGGTGAGAATGATCTGATTTTTTATTGATATATCTGATTTTGATCAAAATCGGCTTTAATATATATAAATTCGAATTTTGAGCCGATCCAATCCAAACTCATGGATCGAACCAATTCAATTTTAGGCTTTATCAAAATCATTTATTATTTAATATTAAATATGTGATTATATAAATTATAAAACTTATATATTTTAAAATTTAAAAAATATCATTGCAAAGTTTAAATATGCCTCCATATTAATTTGTAATATTTGAAAACTCAATATTTAATTATAAAAATGATTTATGAATTGGCATCCATTTATTCTTATGATAATTTAATTATTCATTAAATATGTGAAAAAAATAGATTATTTAGTGAAAAGGATTAATGAAATGTGTGAAAGAAATGAATAATTAGGGGACATATAGAAATCCACAAGATGGTCTGTTTCATTAATTTATTTTGTAATTTAATATTATCAATTATAATACAAATATTATCAACAACTCATGCATTTTTTTTTTGGCTCCAACATTTTGAAAAAACCTTCGCATTGAAAATCATAATTGTTTTATTGCAATCAAAGTCATTAGTTCATAAACTTTATTTTTTTTTCAATTGATGATAAAATGAATTAAAAATTTCTTGACATTGAATGTAATAATAGTAAATAAAATGGTCTATTTTGATTTTAAACTTTAAATATTATTATTAAAATCTAGAGATTAATACCAAAGCTTAATTAAAATTATTTTAATAATGTTTTATTATCCAATTAATACCATGTAATTATTAATATTAATATGAGCCACATAAAAAATTTTAAGTAAGCAAAGTTCTCTAACATTAGATTTATTTTGAAATGATTGTTGTATGTGTGAAGAATTTGTATTGTATTAATCGTAAGCAATTTAAAAAATTTTGGGCTATCTTGAGACAAATTGTGCAAGGATATCACGACATAATTTTTCTTTTTTTCTTTTAATTTTTCATAATGCACTTATTTGAACCAATATCCTTATTATATTTTAAGGTAAATATGTTCCAAAATATTTTTTGGACTAAAATACATCAAATGTGAGAGAAATCTTTATATTCTACAATATTCATTAAAATTTATATTTATAACACTACGGGAAATTACACATTTTGACGGGCTTTTCCATTGAAAATTGAGTGATTTCCGACGGAAAAAATTATGCTAATAAATAAGGCGTATGAAAAAAAAATTCGCCAAAAGATGACGTCTTCAAATACGATGAATTTGAACCGAATTGCCAACGAAATTTTCCGTCGGAAATTTAAAGAACTCAGATTGATATGAAGAGGAATTGATTCGAATTGATTTAGTTTACGAACAATAATTGAATTTTGTTCAAGCCGAGTTATGTGTCATAAAAGTTATTTTGTTATCTTTCTATATTAACTCACATTGGATTATTCTTAGATATTTTAATTATATTCTTTCCATCATGAGAAACAGTGGGCAAAGAAACCCCTCTTAGGCCAAGAAAAAAACTCATATTTCAATGAATGCATTACTTTTATATTGGTTAATGGAATTGCAAAGTATGCTAATGTCTCACTTTTTCTTTTGGTCTAATAATCAAATTGATGATCCTATACACACCAAGATTAATAGGCCTTTGGCAATTACCAATGGTTTGATCTATTTCATTATCTCTTATTATAAAGTGCTTCCTCCTATATATTCAAGCTACTCCTCAATTCTTTTGAATTTATGTTACTCTTCCAATTAAAGGTGATTTAATGTTTGTTCTCTTTAAATTGCTTAAAGATATCAAAAGGATCCTTATGAATGCTAATTGGAAGCTTGGATCCAATTTGAATAAAACCTTACATTTCATTAAATAATATTAAGAAAGTATTCTCTATCTATTAGAAAATGATCCCCAAAATTACATATTAATTTATGATGCTAAATATGTTTAGGACAAGTAGTACCAAAGAAAGAAATAATGTAAATAATATTAAAGAACTAAATGTGATTAATGTTGGCCTTTTCATTTTTCCTTATTGTATGTATATTCTTATTGACAGTAATATCCCTTGTATTTTGATTGCCACTATGGTGGAGCTTATTTATAATAATTAATTCTTTATACTATTAATAACATTAGTGCTGACAAATCCTCGGGTCGTTTTACTAACAAATTCTTTATTCATGCCTAAAATATTATTAAGCAACATTTTTTTTAATTATTTTTTTATGCTTGCAAGGTATTTGATATGGTGACATAAAATCTTATCACTTAATTCCCAAACAAAATTCATTCAAAGTCCTTAACTGATTCAAACCTATCTTTTTTACCCAATGTCTTCTATAATGGAATAATCAAGATTTTTGTTAACATTTTACATATCATTATAAATATTGCTCATGCCATTTTTATTAAAGGCAATATAATGTTGATAATATTGCCCTTAATCATTAGATCACTCCACTTTAACTCTCATTCTTTTGGTACAGTGTTTATTCTAATGTGGATATTTAAAAAGGCTTTTGATGATATTAATAAATAATATATTTTAGAAAGATTGTTGCTTAAAGGAGTGCCCCAAGCTTTTGTCAAGTGGATATTGGCCTGCATCGCTCATGCTTCTTTTTCAGAATTTCTAAATGGGTAGATAAATGTATTGTCTTAGCTCATTGAATGACTAATGACAATTGATCTTTACTTTCCCATTTCTTTTTCCCATTGCTATGGACATGTTTTCTTATCTCTTATAAAAAGAATCAATGTGTGTGTACGTGTGTAGTTTGGGGGGGGGGGGGGGGGGGGGGGGTTTGAGAGTGAGGATTTTTAGACTTTTATGAGAATTTTTTCCTATTGGCTTCTTATATTATTCCATATGCCAATATTCAATAACTTGAGGCGTGATTTTCTAAAGTTGTTATAAACTTTAAGGTGTTATGCCATGCATTGAGTCTCAATGTTTGAAGCTTTCCTTTCAAAGGTTACCCTTTATTGTTGGCTAATTACATGTTAATGATTGTGTTCTTTTTTTTATTTGAGAAAAAAAAAGAGCTAATTAGCTTGCAAGTTGGGTATTGAGCTAGATAATATAAGAAGTATAATTGAGTCGTTGGCATATGATCAGGTGAGTATTGAGCCGTTCACATTTGTTGTTTTGATATGGTCATGCAGATGTTGAACCTTACTTGATTGAGAGTCCGACAGAGCCCCTATAAGGAATACCTCACCACCCCTTTCACCTTCTATTATGCTATTTTGATATAGTCAGGTATATAGTTGGTTTACTTTTTTACTTTGGCTCCCCATTCATTGCTTCGATATTGTTAGATGAATGCGAAACCCTTTCACATTCTATTTTGCTATTTCGATATGGTCAGACAGATAGTTGGTTTATTTTTTATTTGGGCTCCCCATTTACTGTTTCGATATGGTTAAGTGAATGCGGGACCCTTTCATCTTCTACCTTGCTGTTTCGATATGGTCAGACATGTAGTTGGTTTACTTTATTTCTTCCACTCTTTGTTTCACTATTTTGATATGGTCAGGTGAACATAGAGTTTGTCAACATTCACTATTTCGATATGGTCAGGTGGATGTGAGGCTCCCCCCTTTTCCTTTATTTTCTCCTCGGCTTTGCCCTTACTATTGAGAAGGGTAAGGAGAGGAGCCCCCCTACTTTTTCACCTTTTGGTGATTTTTTACTTGTGTTATTTAATCTATTTTGCTTGTTACATTGGGTCAACGCTAATATGCATGGTTCACTATTTTGTTTGTTGCCCGTGTTGGGGGTCTGTGTGTTGACCTTGTTTTCCCCTCACCCATGGGTCAAGGGGTTGACTTGGTCAAATTGACCAAGCTAGGCTCCAAGACCACCTCCCTTGTGTTCAGTGGGTTAAACCAAGTCTGCTGAGCCCAGACCCAGGCCAGGGTTCAATCTAAGTTGACCCAAATTGACCCATACCCTCTCCCTTTCAATTTCAAATCAAATTCAATGCTCTCTTGGCTTAATTCTAACCTCCGCTGGACTCAGTGGGTCAGATCCAACCCATTGGGCTCAGACCCATGCCCTTGGTCAAGTTGGTTGAACCATTTAGCTTAATTGGGCCTAAATCAAATTCAATTCACTTACAACCTATCCTTGGCTCAATCCACTCACTCTTTGGGTTTGACATGGTTGACCAAGTTAACCTTTGACTTGGGCAACCCAAGTTTTCATTAGATAAATATGACATATTTAAGACTAATTAGAGCCCATTTAAAGCATTTGAATCATTCCAAATGAACTCTTCATTCAAACCACGACTAATTCAACATGATTTCCATCCTAATTGAATCTAAATTCAATCCTAGCCGTTCATGATAGGTCTCGGCCTTTAAATAGATGAATTAGGGTTCCAAGAAGGAGACTTTTGATTCTCTCTCTCTCTCCAAGCTCTCCCAAGCCGAGTTTTCTTACATGTGAGCTTCCAAATCATTCTCTACTTTTCCTAAGTCAAATCCACCATTAAACACCCGCCGATGGCGAGATCTCCTTCAAACCGAAGCCATTTACGTTCCAAGGTGATTTCCTATTGATCCACTGCATTTCAAAAAGCAATTTCTTATACAAAAAGGAGCGTTGATAATCTACAAGTGCAACAAGCCTAAGATCTCCCGAATCCACCATGTGGATTAGGTAAAATCACAAACCCTATGTCACTACACTTAGATCTAAATAGCTTTTCATAAAAGCATTTTAAACTGCGACAAGCATACCTCATGAATGCTCTTCATGTATAAAGCTTATGCTTTAAACTTCATTCAATTTGGTGCACCAGATTGAGAGAACAAGCCCAAATATTATTTTGGTCTCGGGTTGGGTTTCCGTCCGCTAGGGGGTGATCTCGACCGTTGATCTCGTGATCAATGGTCGATATATCATCGTTCCGAGGTTTGGAATGACTGTAGATTTCGATCCCACGAATCCGCTCTCCATCGAGCTCGGTTAGGGACGTTGATTCCATACCGTGTTGAATCAATGGTGGGGATTAGTGCTAATGTCATTAAGTGATTGCGGAATTGATCGTGCCACCTTTGCAATCATTTGTAATGATTGCCCACGGTCCGCAGAACCAACCTGAACCCAACGAGTGTCTGACCACCGCCACCATTTTTATTTTAATTAATTTTAAACCCTTTTTTAATATGATTTCTTTAAAAAATTCTTTAAAATTAATTATAAGCAAAAAATTTTAATATTATATATCAATATTTAAAAAAAAAAATATTATCATACTTAATTAATAATTAATTAAATTCAAAAAATAGTTTTTATTAATTATATAATTATTATTTTGAAACAATTTTAAAATATAAAAAAACTTTAATATTTATTTTAATTTGATTCAATAATTATTTTTAAGCACTAATTATTTTGAATTATTTTAAAATAACTTTTAAGTATTTTAAACTTCGATAATTCTTTACTCATTCATTTTAAATCGGATTATTACATCTAATAACTAAACTACACATCTACCTTTCATAAAGACTGGACAACATGGATTTTACGTGCTTAGGTTGTTAGCTGTCTTTCTTTTTCATGCATGATATAAGCCCAAAATGCATTAGTTATGACACGGGTATTAGTGTTGGGTGTAGAACACTAAACCCACCATAGATTTAGGGTTTAAGGTTACTACATTCGGTGGGTAAGTCATACCCACTACACTCTGTCCCTAGCTGAGCGGATCCCTTTCGGAGGTCCACATTCACTTGTTGCGTCTTTGTTGTGCTTTTACTACATATGCACAGTTGCAATCCAGAGCGAAATCACATTGAAAAATCATTAGCAAAAGAGCAGTGCAAAAACTTGAAAGCACAGTAAGAGCACAATTACAATCCACAGGAAAGTGCAACAAGTTCTATTGTATGCGCTTATGCTAAAGCATTGATGTGCTTTTTCTATGAAGTTTTAATTTAGAATTTTGAAAACCCTTAAAAACAACGTGGAATGAGATAGAAATTTATCAATAAGTGGAAATCCTCACCAATTTCAGCCAAATGAACTTTCGATTCCTGAACATTTACATACCCCCTTTCATCCTTTGTTTCCTGTGAGCATTCCGTCTCCTAAATATTTGAAATTTGAAGTTTTCGCAGCTCTTCTCTTTAAATAGATCTCCAATTCTAAACTACACTTCAAAAAAGTATAAAATTGTGGATCAGTCGGATCGTTCGAGTTGAAAGAAATTTAAAAAAAAAAAATTCAATTTGAAATATTCATGTGTCTCCGTCACCTGTAAGTTTTAATTGGAGCCCGCATCAAATAATTTCTCTTTTTTGGTGAAGGATCCCTCTCTCGCTTGTCGCTGTGACTCTCACTTTCATGAAAAATATTTAATTCATTTAATAAATAATTGAATTTACCTGACCTCCATTGTATGGGTGACAGCAAGCTCATGACTCATTTGTTTCGTCACTCAAATTTCTCTTAAAAAAAAAAAAAGCTGTCGTGGTGTTAGCATTGGGCGAATTTTTCCATTTTCCAGTCTCAAGCTCCCTGCTATCGTTCTTCCGATTAGGGCGAGGTAAGAATTTTTGTTTCTCTGAGAAGAAGTTTATTCTACAATTTACCTTTTTTTTCTTCTCAAGAAAAGGGAATGGTTTGATTCTTCTAAAGAGCTGTTGGGTTTCAAGGATTTTTTTTTCTTAATGTGTTATTGTCTCGAATAATGAAGATTGGTTCTGCTTGCATCGCCATTTCTCAATTTCAGGTCTTTTTGCGGTCGGGAAGATTTCTGCCTCCTCTCCTTTTTTATTTGTTTATTTTTTTAGTTCTTGATATCATCTTAAAAAATCGGGTCAAGTTTGCTTCAAGTTTAATTTTTTATTGGCATTTTGTAATGGATTTTCCTTTCAGGTGCAGGAACTGGGCTGTGGCTGGTGTTTTTCTTCTCTTGGTTTTGATGGGCATCTAGGGTTTTAACAGGTCGGCGCTTCCGTAGTTAGATGCTTATTTTATGTGGGAAGCGAGTCACAGGGTTTCTTCGTGAAAGAACTTGGGAGGGATTGCCCTTTCGATTTTGGAGATTTGCGTAATCAGTTGTTTCTCGTTAGCATTTTGCACAGTGATAGGCTAGCCGTTGATTACATGAGCTCTTGATAGCTTGTAAGGATTCTGTGTTGTTACTATTTGTGTAAATTGGGATTTTGCTCTTATCGCATTGGTTAGTCTGGATCTCGATAAACGGTGGATAAGGTGAAGACAATGGTGGCTGAGGAGGAAAACTTGTATTTGACAAAGGAGAGTCATTTGGAAGATCCTTTGAGATCTGAGATGGAGATTGAGGAGAACGTAGTGGTAGCATGTCGGTATACGGATGGTGATGCTTCAACACAGGACAGAGGTGAGGGAAGCAGTGCGGTCTTCTCTCAAGAAGCCTCTCAGGAGAGCAAATATCATCAGCTCCCTAAAAGTTATGGTGGCTGTGCGAAGAAGTTCAGGTTTAGGGTTTCTGAACAGACAGAAGATTCTGTCAGGAAGAAAGATAAGGAGAAAAGTAAGCTGGACAGGAGACTTAGCAGGCAGGATAGGATTGAACTTGGCCGTATGTTTCAAGGTGCAGTGAGCTCCCATGATTGGGAGCTTGCTGAGAGTTTAATTCTCTTAGCCGATCCCCAAACTCTGAATGACGCCCTATGTATAGCACTGGATTCTATATGGTTTTTGAAGATCCGACAAGAACTTGATGGGATCACTGGGCTAATCAAGAAGATTGTCTCTAATGGTGCCCGTGATTTCACAAGAGCGGCCCTAAGAACATCATTTCTTGCTTCATGTGTGTCTGCATGCCAGAGCAGGACAATAAGCTTAGCAGATACTGTTGCTTTCATGGCTCAAAGGTAAATATCTGTGTGTGGTCTGCTTATGCTGCATTTATATTCAAAAGTTTCTGTTTGAGATTTACTTTATGAATGGCAATATCTACGAAGGACGCCATTAAGCATGTTTAACTAAGGCAAAGGAAAATAGTTATGTAAGCTAAACAGAAGGCTTCTAGACTTCTAGTTCATGTTCTAGAGATCACTCACCTGAATATTGTTTGGTTTTTGCTTCAGATTGCATGACCGTCTTCAAGAATGCAACGGGGATGAGATTTTAAAAGCTGAGGCAGGTGCAAAAGTTCAAAAGTTCACTGAATGGGCCTTGAAATGCATTGGGTTTCACTCTCGCTGCCAAGAGAACAGGGGTGAAGGCAATCCCAATACTGCAATTGAAGTGCACTTTCAGCTTTCGGCGTTCAAAACATTCCTGGATCTTGCTGGCAGTAATCTTTCTGGAAAGGACTTCACTGAGGCATTTGATGCTGCATGTTTCCCTCTTACACTCTTTTCAAGCTCTTTCGACCCTGGTTGGGCTTCCGGAATCTCAGCATATTTGATACAAGGGTTGCTAGGAATGTTGGTGGAGGGTGGTGCTGATAATGTCAACCTATGTTTTTTGGAAGCATCTCGCTTTGGTAGTACTGAACTTGTTCGCATCCTGCTTCAGGTAACATACCCTTACCATACTACAGAATTCCTGTGTAGATATTTTAAGTGTTTCACCTTGATTTGTTTTTTAATTATTTCATTGTAGTTATAAAAAGGTTGCTTGTCTTAATAGGTACATTCTTTTTTCTCAATATGAGAATAACTGCGCTCCCTTTAATTCATGACATTGCATTAGATCTAAATAAGGCAGACTTTTAGTAAGCTCTATGATGCTTTAGCATTTCCAGATTTATAGAAGAAAATGCACTATTTTATCAAAACAATGGATTTGCTTAACCGTTCAGACTAGTGTTGATTTTTAGGGGTGTCAATTTCGGGTCACGGGTCAGGTTCGGGTCGAATCTGGAACTGACCTGGCACTATTCGGCTCAACCCGAACCCGACCCATTTTTGTGTACGGGTCAGTTTTGCGGACCCGAACCGACCCGCTTCGGGTTCGGGTCAACCCGACCCGACCCTCTTTGGAATGGACAGCGGTACGCCGGGTCACGCTTCGACATTCGGCAGCAGCAGCGGACTCGACCGCGGGACAGCAGGACGCGCGGCGGACTCGACTTGGGGATGCTGGATCGCGCCATCGCGGGCAGTGGCTGGATCGCGCCATCATGGGCACTAACGCTGCCGAACTGGGCAGCTGGATCGCGGGCAGCGGCTAGATCGCGCCATCGTGGGCACTGGTGTTGTCGAACTGGGCAGCTGGATCGCGGGCAGTGGCTGGATCGCGCCATCGCGGGCAGCCGGGCACTATCGCACTGGGCAGACACATCACGTACTCACGCATGGCACTCGGCAACGAGTCGATGCATGCGGGCAGAATGACGCGGGCATAGCAGGCAGTTGGGTCATTCCGTGTCATTTTCGGGTTCCCGAGTCAACCCGACCCGTTTTTTGAAACGGGTTTAATACCTGAACTCGGGTTCGGGTCAACCAAAACCCGAAATTTTCGGGTCGGATTCTGGTCGGTTTTTGGGTCGGGTCCAATATTGACACCCCTATTGATTTTCATTTCAAATTTCCCATTTTTTGTAATGAAAATTCCCTAGCAGTCTCCCTTACTGGGATTAAGCGAAACTTACATGTTAGCTTAGGTTAATTTACTAAGGATTGACTACTAATTATTCTATTAAAAGTTGATTAAACAAGCTAATGAGGGATAAATTAGCTTGATTATTTATTAGTTTTATGATAATTAATTATTTTTTGTTAGTCCTAGATTGATTATTTAATTTCACTGCCTAATTATTGAGTACTTCTTAGAATAATATGCTTGTCTAACTAGTAAGTATCAATTAAATAAAAATTAATGGTCTGCTTTCTTATAGAGATGATCCATATGAAACTCAATTGCTTTCTTTGAGTATGTTTGGTGTCACAAAGGTGTTGGATTCATTGCTAATGATCAAATCAAGTCTGCTACCATCAAATGGTTATGATGAAGTCAAAGCTCCTTATTATCTTATACTTGTTCAAATCTAAAGATTGGCCCTTGGTTATATTGCTAAACAAACAAGGCCTAAACTATAGTGTTAGGCTATGCTGGATTGATACTTTATGCAGGGCGCCAACAATTGCACAATAGCCCATGTATGTGCTTTTATGGTGTTTACTTCCCTAAGTGGATATATGCTTGTGTGTACTTTTAATCACATGTGCATTTCACTCTTGTACTCTATATTGTACAAATTTGTACACATCATTGTATAAAATTCACTCGTTCATTCATCCTTTGTTTAGCATTCCTCACTCTATGTTCCTCTTACTGCACCATGTTAATACTCCTTGTTTCACTGTGCTGCTTTTTTATTTGCTCATCTTCATTCTCCTATCGTCTCAAATGGAGGCATGATATTGGCGTATGGCATGTTGTTGATGAACTAGGACTTATGGGATCATGTTAAGCAATTTAGAATACTCCCAATCACTGCCCCTGTTGAGATTGATGACTCTGCAATTTCACGTGACTTTCATGCTTTTAATTATCCAATACTTAATAGTAAGTTAAGTGAATGTTGGACTAGTAAAAATGGGAAAATGCATTATTAATGCAATGATGGAATGAGGAATGCGAAAGCAAGCAAGGACAGAGTGAATGGTCGAAGAGAACAAATGAAGGGTTCTTAGCTAATGAGTGAAACCATAAAATGCAAGAGCAAGGTAACTGAGTGTCTAGTAGCATTGTTTAAAATTGCGCAATATGAGGCTCTCCTCAGCACAATTCTAGTGAAAAATGCCTTAAGGCGTACGCCTCAAGCTTTTTTTTTTTATGAGGCTTATGCCTCCGCTTGACTGAGGCGCGCCTTGCCTTACTAGCGTGAGGTATACACCTCACCCGATTTATATATATTTTTATTAAAATTTAACTAAATCCTAAACTAATGTCCCGAACAAATCATGTCTTCATGCACCCCCAAGCCGCAACAACTTCCTCTCAATCACCTCGACTTTTAACCCACCGCATTTGTCGTTGCCACCGCCTGGAATCACTTGACAGCTGCACACCACCTCCACCTCCAAAAATTTTGGAGGATTATTCTTATCTTTATGTTGATGATAAATATTTATGGAATAAAAAGATAATTGAAATAAATGAAAAAGAAACGGGTTGAGAGGCATTGAACTCCACGATATGAGGCAGATGACTAGATGAGAGATAAATTTGTTATGACGATGACTCAAATAAAGGCCCCCTCAGTGGTGACAGTACATATGATTTTTTAGTTGTTGCCAATTATGTCATCTTTTTTTAGGAATATAATATGGATGAGTAAGGAATTAAGAAAGAAGGAATTTGAAGTTGAACTTTATGTTATAGGGTACTTTTTTTTTTTTTATAGGATACTTTTACTTGATTCTTGTATTTCATGTTATTTTGCTCTTGTAATATTTGAATTTCAATTCTTTTTCACGCAATTTATCACTTGTTATTTTACATATGTGCAATTTTTTTTCATATGTATGTCAATTTTTTACTTCATAGTTCAATAAAAAGTGAATATGTCATTTTTTAACATATTATTTGGGTAATATATAAAAAAATACTGTTAACCTTTATTTTCACTTTACATATTTTTTTGATCTTGAGTCTTACACCTCAAAACGTCTTGAGGCTTACGTCTCGCCTCACAAAAGAAAAACGCATCAATACTCAATTACACAATTTTAAACCTTGTCTAGTAGTAAATGAAGTGAATAAGGGCAGTTCTTTTCTGACGAGGTTCTTTCTCAAGTGGGTGAGTTAATAAGTTATGAATTAGAGCAGAAATGGAGGAGCAGTAGAAGTGTGTGAGGCTTGGGAGCAAATATTGGAGTTAAAATTGGAGTAAAGGAGTGAGCGTGGACCAGAGTTAATGGATTTTAAGGAGTATTACTGAAGTGAGCAAGGGTTGGGAGAGAGATGTGGAGTTAAAATGTGAGTTTTAGATGGCAAGGATTAGGACTGACTGATAGAGTTTATCAGGAGGGAGTTTAGAACTAGAGTTAGGAGCTGTCATACCAATGACTCAAGGGATGATTAATTAAGTATTAGTTAATGATCAAAATTAAAATAACTTTGATTAATTAGTTTAATTGATCATCAACTATATTAATTACTTATTAAACAATTATTAGTATAAAGGTGGTTTGGTTAGTCAAGCAATAACTAATTAAAGTTTTATTTTCTGAACAAACAAGTATTAATTTTTTATTTGATATAAGCTATCCTAATTTGTTGGGATTAATTAGAATAATAATTAAATGATTATTTATCGTTGAAGATTTATTTTCTAGTAATACAGTGATTAATTTACAATTTAATATTTAAAGTTATGCACGTGAAAATTTATAGAAATTTAATTAATAACAATGACTTTTTTATTTCTTACTGAGTACAAAAAGAAGCTAATTGATCATAATGATTAATAAAAAATAATCATTTAATTAGTTATGCGCTAATAATGTCAGGATATGCAATTAATTTTATATGATTTTATAATTAGTTTTCTTTATTCCTTCAACTAACTCACATTACCGTCTGCCTTTGATGTGAAATAAAATATGGTTTTTTTGGCGGCTACATGGGACTCTAAAACCTTTTTTTTTTTTTAATTTTTTTTTTTTTTAGCAATATACTTTCACGTTGTTGTGCAAGTTGTTGTGAACCTAACACCAAACTATCAATACACTACTTAAAAGTGTCAGCAAATGTAACAGGCATTTTGAAAAGATTTTATTTTGATGAACTGGAACGCCTTCATTTCATAGATATTATTCAAGGTTTAAAATTGTGCAATCAGGTATTAAGACATTTTTTATTTATGAGGTGAGGCATAAGCCTCAAAATAAAAAAAATTGGTTATATCAAAATAATGTTTAAAAGTTATTTTTTATATAATAATCAAATAATATATTAGGAGGATGACATTAACTTTCTATTGAACTATGAATTAACAAATTGACATACATATGAAATAAAAAGTTGCACAATACATAAAGTGGCAAATGATAAATTACGTGAAATATAATTAAAATCTAAAAATTACAAGAGCAAAATAATATTGAATACATAAATTGCATAAAAGTATCATATAATATCAAGTTTAATTCTAAATTCGTTCTTTCTCAATTCCCTACTCATACATATTTAATTCATAAAAAAGCTTAAATTATTGGCAAAAACTTAGAAAACATCTAATCACTAAGGGGATTTTTATTTGAGTCGTCGTCATAACAAATTGGTCTCTCCTCTGATTCATCCTATAAATTCCAATGGCTCTAAATCTGCTTCTTCATTTATTTCAGTCATCTTCTTCTTTTATAAATATTTTTTATCAACATAAAGATAAGATAATATTCAAAAAAATTTAGAGGTGATGTTGGTAACCAACTTTCAAGTGATTCCTTACGGCGGTTACAACGATGGTGGCTATGGCGAAAATGGCGGGCTGGATATCGAGATAGTCGAGTTGAAGTTGTTGCAGCTTTGGGGTGCATGAATGCGTAATTTGTTCATGGATTTAG